TGTGTGTGTGTGTGTGTGTGTGTGTGTGTGTGCCATTTACTTGTAAAAGTTACCATAATGTCTGTTTGCAGAGTTCCACAGTAACTAAGTACAAATACTTTGTTACTGTACTTAAATATAAATTTAATTATCTTAACTTTACTTGAGTAATTCTTTTTCAGCCAACTTTTTATTTCTACTCCTGACCTTTTTTAAAAAAAGGTAAGAATTAGAAAAAAAAAGTAGAAAGGTGTGTGATTGTTAAAGTCTACTGTCCTGACACACTGCTCCTCCTGGACACAGTGAGTTTAACCTGGTTGGATGAGAAGTATAAAAATATCTACCATTGTGTTACTGTACTAGTTTGTACTCAGTCCATCACAGCCTTTAGAAAAATGTTTTTTGGAGAGATCACCTCTAAATAAATGTATTTTGGAAAATCTAACTGCTCATTTTTACTCAGTACTTTTACTTTAATACTTAAGTACTTTTTATGTCAGAAAATTACTTTTTGTTGTTCCATTAGAACAAAATCTAACTTTTGACTTTTGATCCAACTTGCAGTTGTGTTGAGTTTTTCTTTCTGTTGTGTTTTTGTTGTTGTGKAGATTTTCCACTTGAATTTGTCAGATGTGTGTGTTTGGAAGTGAAGACTTTAGGGAGGTGTGACCAGCAGGAACCATGTTGCCTCCTTTTCTTGAGAAAATGCCGAGGAGTGTGAACRCTGAGTGGGAGACCTGTGGGTTCAGACAGAATATACATGTATTATTTCACTGCTCAGTCCTGTAAATATAATGAGCTGTTAGACTGACGGCTTCAATCTGTACACTCACCACACACATTAGCTGGATTGAAGTTGGATTCCAGTAGAATGAAGCTGCAGACACATCCTGTCACTGTGACGATGTTGTATGTCAGACTAACAGCTTCCAGCTCTTTGTTAAATTCTTCTGATTTCAGTGTTTAAATGTTCAGAACAAAGCAGAGCAGTGAGGAACACACTGACTGATCCTGATATTACCAGGCTTTGCTTCTTTTTTATTACTCTGCTTTTGTCCATTTATATTTTCTCCACAAACACTTTTCTTCATCATCTCATCTTCTCCTTCTTCCTGTGAGGTTCTGCTGATGTTAACACACAGAACCAGACTTTGACCTGAGCAGCTGCTCCACAGACCTCTGCAGGACGTTTAACTTGACCTGAACAGAGGAACAGTGACCCAGAGATGAACTCATGAAGCTGAGCTGTGATCAGCAGTGTGCTTGTAATGTGATGTGTGTGTGTGTGTGTGCATGTTACACACTGTGGTGCTGCTCAGACACACACTTCAGTCTTATAGTTACTGAAAAACCAATAAATGATTCAGCTTCCAGTTTCAGCTGACGTGCTTTAATGTTAGAGAAGTATGAAAAACAGAAAAACACTGTGTCTGGTCTAAASTGGGACTTGTGACGTGTCCAGGGTGACTAACAGAGACAGAGTCCAGCTCCCCTGCAGAGGAACCTCAGAGTCCACAGAGTCAACACTGTNGGACTTGTGTGATTACAGAATATCAAGTTTTCCATTTTTCTCTCTCCCTCAGTACCATCACTGTATTACTTAAACTAATTAATTCATTATCCTTCATTCATCCAAACTAAAGACAWTTATGGCTATGGATAGATAAAAGTGGTATTGGTACACAGTGAATAGCATCACTCGCAGTCCACATTCACACATAAAATAGCTTAAGTCATGTAAATTTGTAGCAAAATATTCTCACCGTAAAAAAAAAAAAAAAAACCCAGAGCTGTCAGGTTTTCGATGCTTTACAGGCAGATTTCTAAATTAAAACGTTCAAAACAATCAGACTTAAAAGGAATGTATTGAGAACACTTTTCAGTRTAGATTCTACTTCATTTTGATTATTTCCATCTGTCATCAACAGAGCCGATCATATTCTTCCAGCTTGTTAAAATGCTTAAATGCTGGATGTTTTATAGGACTTCTTGCACCCAGGTAGACTGACAATAAAAACCCCTTCATGAAAGCTTTTTAACAGTTCAGGTTATCTCATCTCTAAACACTTCTAATTTCCAGATTTATATCTTTATTCAATTACACAGAATTTAGATCCGACCGCTTCCTGCTTCTGGAAATCCTGAAGCATCAGCACGTGGCAGACTCAAACACAAGAGGGCACTATCATACAAAACCTGAGGGATCAGATTTACCCCRGTGCAGCTCAAATCCCATGTGCTCTGCGGGAATGAATTTGGGAATTCAAACAGTTTGTTTCCGTTTTTTAAAGTGGAATCGTTGCCAGTTGGCCGTCCTCCTCTTAACGCTTCATCACCACCTGTTCGTACGCTCCAGCGCCGACCCTGAGAGGACAGGCGAAACATGAATTAGCAGCTGTATTTTACAGAGTACGACTCGGGGGAATATGAGACTTTGCTTTTGTGTGGACCGAATGAAGATTAAAGAATATAAAGTTGCATTTTAAACGGTTTTACTGACAGATCAGCTAGAAAACTGTTGGAATCTAGAGAAATTGCATTTAGTGTAAAATGTTTCTGCTAAAGTGTAATGCAAGTTCATTTGAAATGTGAAAGAAGCATAAAAAGCTCAAATTAGCAGAAAGAAGTACAAAAACAGAAATTAGCAGAAAAACAGCTAAAATAGCAGAAAATAGCTCAAATTAGCATAAGAAGCTAAAGGTATCAGATACAAGTTAGAATTAGCTTACAGATGGTGAAAGTGTTGTAAAAAAAAGCAAAATAATCAGAAAAGAAAATTACAAAAAAGTTGCAATTTGTTGTAAAATAGCTAAAACAGCCAAAATGTGTATCAACACTGCTAAAATGTAGCTAAAATAATTTTACCATAAAGAAGCAGAAGGAGCACATTTGCAGAAGAGAGAAGCTGTAATGGCCTCCAATTTATGAATTCAGCTTAAAATCTAGTTTTATCTAATAACAGCTGAACAGTAGCTAAAATGGCAGCAAACAGCTGTAATAAGCAGAAAACAATTGAAAGAAGCATAAACCCCAATTAGCAAAGAAGCTGAAAGCACAAAAAAGTACAATCTAGCAGAAAGGAGTCAAATTTTAGCCAGAAATAACAGAAAAAGGCTAAAATTGTCACAGGGCAGTTAAAAAGAGCTGAACCAGAATAAAAAGTATAAAATACAGTAAAGATTTAGAAATATTTTGAAGAGTTTTAAAAACGTTGAAAACGGCTCCATTCATTTTCAGTGGGGAAAAATGTGGCTGAAAAAGTGAAGTAGCTAAAGAAAAGAAGTTTAAATAGCTGAAATACTACGAGTTATAGCCGGAATGTGCTGAAGGAGCTGGACGCTTTGATATATGAACTGTTGAAACGACACAAAAATTGCGGAACTAGATAGGTTCTGAAAAAGGTATGGAGGAAAAAAAAGATTGTTTGAATGCTTGTGAAGCATCCACACTATTAAATAAGTGAAGAATGTTTTTTTTTATAATTAGCTTTCAGAATAAGCCATAATAAATCATTAGCAAAGTAAAATAAAGTAATAAAACAGCAGCTTAAACCATGGCCAAACTGGCTTTAGAGCGATGATTTTTTAAAAAATTTTCACCAGTTGTCCTTTCGTACCTATAGCTATACAAACAGTTCTTACATTCAGCAGCAACTCAACTTTCCAGCTACAAGTCCTGGATGCAGAATGTGGAACATTTTGTTGCTTTAAATCTTCTATGCTTCGCTGCAGCTCATAGGACAGTTTGGAGCGTTATAATAAATGAGTGTAGCAGTTGATGATGCTCACCTGGTGGGAAGGTGATGGCTTCCAAGGGCGGTACTTCCTCCAGGACCAACAAAGAGACGCAAGCCCTCCTCTGAAGCAGACATAGTTGTAACCGTCAGGACACAAGGCACCCACAGCCTGCTGTATAAATCTTGTCATGATGAGCAGCCAGTTGCTAGGCAATCTAAAAATAATCACGTATTGACAGTAGCCCCCCTTTTCTTAAGCATTGAGCCGAATGAGAGCTTGGAAGTAAACACAATACCTTCCTCAAAGTTCACACAATGACTCACGATTCATGGGGTAACACAATAGTATCGACTGAATTATTGTTCTGCAATTTATCTGAGCATGAAGCACAGACTCTAGAATAGGGCTGCCTTTTTTACTTGATTTGTTTACATCGTTTCAGAGCGGGCGTCTCTCACCTTCAGCGCTGGAGTCCAGCAGGCTGGGTGTAAAGTCCTGACTCTGTAAAATCTTTTCCACAACATCGTCGGCATCCACCCTCGTGTCGTCCATTCGCTTCAGCTGCGACTCCATGGAGTCCTGCTTCATGGGGTGTCTGAGGAGGAGAATCTGAGGAGTTATTTTTGTGCTAAAAAATATCGTTTGCATCTTTCGTCTTCTACTTTTCTTATGCTAAAAGGGTTTTTGTTCAATCGCTGAGCTAATATCCACACAAGCTTTGTGCACACAGAAAGCTGTTGAGTTGCATTTTTCATCAGCGTGACACACTGGAACTCATGTTTGACTGTTTATTTCTTTCTTACAGTATTAGTAAATGCAAGCCAAAACACACATTTGTACTTCAAATTTTACTTTAACAGCACTTTCGATACGCCTGAATGCACAAGCAGCAGAGCACTAAACTTCCTGCTGCACCGTTTCTGCACTATGCTTTAAGACCCAGTGTAAAACAGTAAATATTTCATTTTTACTTAATAAGTGACTGTAGTATGTTTCCATACTATAAGTGAAATCAAATCAAAGTTTTAAAATTTTGCCTAATAGGAACTATGAATCAGGGCCTGTCTGTAGTAACTGGCTTTGAGCAGTGTAGTCAGCAGTTTTTCTAAAATGCTACGTAAAAATCAAAGTCTGAACTGATTCTTGAGGAGAAAAAGATTCTACCTTTTTATAATAATAGTGTAACACAATGAAGTGCATTTCTTTGCTCATCCATAGAACCAAAATTTTAGAAAAGTTTAATCTGGTACACAGAGATTTGACGGTTCTGGCTGATGCAGGACTTCCTGTCCCACTTTCTTGTTAAATCTCATTATCACTGAGGTTTTGCAGAAACCAGTGTTGCTTTAAGCTGCAGTGATATTTACATGTAAAAAGAGGTACAGATTCTCTTATTTCTGGTTTTATAAAAATGTTGAGGTAATTTTTTCTTACACAAATGAAAGAAAATATTCTTAAATGTAAGATAAAAATAACAAATCTATATAACAAAACATCGGCTGGTATTGTTAAGTTAAGTGCACTTAATAAAAGTTCATATCCTTCCCCAGCAAAACTTATTTACTAAATTCCGGTCTAGTCAGTTTTAGACCCCACAAACATAAATGTTTCTTGTGAGTTTAAAAGCTCTCAGTGACACCACGTAATAAAACCACAAATATGTTTCCGCTGTTTTGCCTCGCAGATTTTGATGCTGCTTCCTGAAACGCGACACAGGAAATGTATCTATCAAAATATCATTCAGCTCATCTGTAGAAGCTTGCCTGCTCAGTCCGTTTTATCCTCATCCCTTTTCTAAAATAAGCCCAACAACAGTTGAATAAATTATTTTAGTAGTTCAAGATGTTTCTTTACTCATCAAACGAGCCAGAGACTCGCCTGTTCAGCCGTTCGCAGGATGAGGAGCTCAGCACTTGTGTTCCTAATGGGTTGCTAGTGGCGGTTGTTGGAGCTGGGTGTTCAGGCAGAGCTGGACAGGGTCTGGACTCTCGTTCCTCGCTGGGCTCTGGAATACTTCCGATTCCTGTTGAGGCGCTGCCCACCGAGTGGTTTCTCCGATGGCTGAACTCTGACATGCTGGATGAGCGGGAGTGACCGGTGCTGTAGCCTGAAAGAAAGGAACATTTCTCATTTATAGTAAACTGATGCTTTTGGGTTGTTTTTGTGATGAACATGACTAACAGATCCTCTATAAAATGTGTTAGTAGTTTTTAGTGCAAACCTTAAAAACAACACACCAGCTTACATTTACATGTAGGAGGAAAAGGATTTTTCAGCCCTACATGAGAGGCCCATTAGAGCTGATGTCTGACCGACTCCACTTCCTCTAATCATTTATTAGTGTCATCTGATCTGGCTTTGATTGATACTCGAACTGCAAGGGTTGAGTATTACTGGAAATGCATGGTATGATTTCCATTCTCCTCAGTAAAAAGATTTTATCTTAAATTTGACCACATACTTTAGTTTTTTTTCCCATTCGGCATTTGCGAGAATAAAATATGCTTTACGTAATTGAAGTTGGAAACTAATCATTTTAATCTGATACGCTTTCAACTCAGTAACTTGTTTTCTGAGTATTGTATCCATCTTTGTATCGTCGAACCTCAGGAGCTTGGGTGTCAGAACCAAATTTTGAATGAAATAGATGTCATTTCCTGCATTCTGGTGTATTTTACCAGGTTCTGAAACATACTATTACATACATAAATAAACACTTGATTTAATAATTATTTCAGAGAAAGATCCCTCATTAAACTACTCTATCACTTTGTTTTAAACTCACTGCTACAGCTGAGATAAGGTTGATTAATGTAACACAATATTAACCAGTGACTTCAGGGGTGCCTTTCACTTTCATACTGTTTATTCTTGATTTATTTTAAATTGTAACATGTCAATGTGCTAAATGACCATTAACTGCACATTTAAAACTAATAATAATAACTTTACCCAATGAACAGGTGCAATATTGATAACCACCAACAGTGAATTTAGAGGGGCATTTCACTTTTTATGATTTAGTGATAGGTCTACTCATAACCAAAAGGAACAGGGCATCATGCAGCCTTCAGAACATAAAATGACACAGAGCTATGGTGACAAAAAAATTAAATAAAACAAAAAACGTCAGTTTTGTCAATCTGCATGTAATTATTAAAGCAAAAATGGGTCTACTGGTTCCTTCCGACCCTGGTACCACCTCAATTTCTACCACTTCCAACTAATTAAAGTGAAAATTTTAATAAGCACGTTATTTTTTTCTTCTTAAAGCCACAAAAAAGCACGTAATTTTTATACTATTCAAAATATAATAAAATTCAGTTTAATCATGCTGTGGATCAGGGGTGCCCAACCAGTTGCTTGCGGGCGACTGGTCGCCCGCCAGCTGACCAGGTGCCTGTGCAGCGCAAACTTGCTGCGGAGCCTCTAGTGCCGACTYTGAGCGTCGCATCCCGGAGTGGCTGGTCTTGTTTGAAAGCTCTGGTTCTGCCCTACAAGGAGAAAGTTGAGTGGAGTCCCTGCGACGTTCCGCCGCGGATATAAGCGAAAAACCTCCAAAATTACGCACCGTCGGACCTCCGCCGGGGTGGTTTTAGCCCCCCTCCCCGGGCTAGGAGCATTGGATCCCGGTGGGGCTGGTCGGGTTTTAAAGCTCTGGTTCTGCCCTACAAGCTGATACTTAAATGGAGTCTCTCTGACGTTCCCTCGCGGAGCTATAAGCAAATTACGCACGACTTAGTGCATTTTACGTGCATTTTTGGGAGGAAATTTCAACCTTCGTTTGCTTCTCCCGCGGGCTCTCACCATCGGATCCTTTGAAAGTGAGAAGACTTTGGAAAGCTGCGGTCCTCCTCTACAAACTGGAGGCGGTTGCAAGTTCCTGGGACGTACCCCCCATGGAGCTATTAACCAATGACCGGCCGAAAAAGGCGCTTTGGCGGGCGATATAGTACTCAATTTACTCCGGAGCCTCTAGCGCCGGCTCTGAGCGTCCGGGTGGGAGATAGTTTTTTAAAGTTCTGGATCTCTGCTACAACCTGGAGGTGGTTGCAAGTTCCTGGGACGTTCCCACGCGGAGATGTAAGCGATCAAAAGTCGTCGGGCGAGCTCCGGCGGGTGAAACGGCTGATTTCCAGCATGGGGCTGCTTGTGCTGATGCAGGGGAATAAAAGAAAGAGATCCAGTGAGGTGGAACCGCGGTCCTACGTCCAGCAACCGCTCTCCCACCTGGATTTAGCCAGAAACCCCTGGTGGGCGATATTTCTGCAAAAATGCATAAAATTCAGAAACCCACCTGATGGATCACTTCCAGACAATAAAAGGAACAGGTATGGTCAAGTGAAACCRGTCCTGGAAGCTCAGCACTGGGTTTTATAACAGCCTGCCCCCTGAATCACTGTTGGGCGATATTTTTGCAATAATGCATAAAATTCAGAAACCCTCCTGATGGATCTGTTCCAGGCAATAAAAGGAACAGATCTGATCAGGTGAAACCGGTCCTGGAAGCTCAGCATCAGGTTTTATAGCCGCCTGCGAGGGAATTTTATATTGTGTGCTTTGACTTTGAAAAGAAAGTAAAAAGGGGCGGTACTCTTGTGGTAGCCATGTTGACCCTGATAGATTTTTGTTTTGYTTTTCCTCCCCTGTATGGAGAGAAGAGAGGAGAGTTATTTGAATAAATGGAGACGAGTTCCCGTACTCCAAAGTTATTTGACTCTGTGGTTCTCACTGGGCATGTTTTCAGCCCTCGTAACTCGCAAGTTACAGTGAGTACTAATTGAAGGAGGTAAAAAAAAGAACCTTTTTGTTCAAGCAGCACTTATGTTTCTCTGTCAGGAGTTAAATAAGGATTTTATCTTTTCTTTTTTTTGTAGGTAAATATATGGTTAAGTAGTAGATAGTCCCCTTCACTTACTATTGTTGCAACGCCTATGCTCAGGAGCTAAAGAAAAAATATTACAATTTTTAGAATATGAGATATTTAGATCTATTGAGAGGAGCCTGTTGAGGTGGTTCAACCATCCAGCAGTACGATGCTTAAGATGAGAGGGCAGGACAACAGAATGGTAAGCTAAGGTTAGATTTTTTTTCAACTTGTTTGGTGGCTCGCTACTGTTGTTGTGTAGTTAAACTTGTGAAAAAAACGTTACAGTCGCTGCAAAGAAAGTTACTCATGTGATGTAGCCCCCTGTTAGTGAACTAATCAATAAGCAGCAGTAGCTGACATCAAATCAGGTCAGTCTGATTGGAACCCTAGCTCTCAAGGTTCCAGAAATCAGGGTGGACCTGGGGCATATGGGTTAAAATGCCGAACCCACGTTTGAACCCCAGCTGGGCCATGCAGTGCAAAAAACACCTTATGTCTCTTGGCTGGTCTGGGAACGCCTTTGAATCCTCCCAGAAGAGCTGGAAGAGGTGGATTTGGAAAGAGATGTCTGGGACTCTCTGTTAAAAGCTGCTGCCCCTGTAACAATCTTCGGAACAAATGGAGGATGGATGGATGGATTGGTTGATGATGGATTGGTGGATGGATGGATTGTTTGACGAGGGATTGGTGGGTGGACAGATGAATGGATGGATGGAATGGTGGATGGATGGATGAATGGATGGGCTGACTGGTTCATGGATGGATGGATTAATTGATAAATTAATGGAAGGATTGATGGATGGATGGATTGGTTGATAGATGGAGGATGAAATGATGGATGGATGGATGGATGGATTGATGGATGGAAGGATTAATGGGATATCTCTACCTGAGAGTTTGGACTGTTGGCTGGCGTAGCTAGAAGTTCGGGAGTGGCCACAACCCCCAAGATCATCTGACACAACGGGACATTTCCCTTCTCGATTCTCTCCTAGATGAGAAAGGACAGAGACATACAAGGGATGGCTAAAATATTAAAGCTCCACAAAGACGTCCTTGGAAATCATTCATTAAACCACAAGTTTCAGGTTTGTGAAAGTTGCATCAGTTCAAATGTGGCAATAAGCAGGTTTTAAAAACAATGACCGGATAACTACAGATCCAACTTTATTCCAACAGTGTCTGCAATTCCAGCTTTTTAAACCCCACTAAGGGTGCGTTCCAGTAGTCCTGGGAAGTAGTAATTTCCCAGTTCCCATTGTTAGATTTAAACTGGAACGCCCCCTCCAGTGGTAATATTCCACTCGTAAAGTGGAAGAAATGAAACTGCCCCCAGWTTCGATTTCAAGATGGCGGCTACTCGCAGCTTTAGAAAGTTAACTCTGTAACGTTTACTATTAATTATCTTGCTTAATTTTTTGTGTATGTTTAATCACTCACACAAGTAGTGTGTTTTCTGTGCAATGCTATACGTGTTAAAATCAATGTTTATTTGCATGACGTACGTAGTAGAGCTCTCTTTTTGTCATTGTTTATATTGTAGCAGTGTTGTACGTAGGTTAGCGGCAACAATACAATCGCCTGTCGGCTAACTGGAATGCAGTTTCATATGGTTTGTTGAGAAATGAGGTCACTGCCATTTACCAGTTCCCGGAATATGATGTAAACGGAATGCAGCATAAGAAACCTGAAAACTGGTGTTATTTAGTGTCAACCATGATGCACCAATAGAAAATGGTCACAGCCAACAAATATAGCTTCTCTGGAATGCACCTATTTATTACACCTTTCTTCTAAGTTGATTTTGTTGCACATAACTCATAATTTTCCAAATGATAAAAGTATCAGGTTTACTGGTTTGATAACTAACAAACATCTAAATTGAACAGGCTCTTAAAACCACACCTAATGAAAAGAACCGAYGGTGCTTTTAGAAGAGAACATCAAACTAACACATTTTATATGCATGCTAACACACAACCTCCCCCCAGACAGACAGACCACATTCCTATTTTTAACCACATGAAAGCCCACAGGTCAGAACAGATTGTAGTTAATCTAAAAAGAGAATTTAAATTATACATGAACTACATTCAAGCATTCAACACTGCAATGTGTTCACACTTCAACACACACTGAGCAAGAGAGAAAAGAGGAAAGGAAGATGTGAAAGGACATGGTTAATCTCTTCTGCAATGCAAACTGACATTAAAGATGCGGTTGCGGGATTTTATGTAAATGAAATAAAGGATAAAGTTACTTTAGGAATATTGCAAAGACATAACTCAAAAATGTAAAGAAACATTTGGATTTTTTATTAAAGTTTAGTTTTATTTCGTTCTGACTTTTCTTTTAATTTGGTTAGTTTTAATTAGTTTTTACAGTGGATTTGCTAGTTTTTATTAGTTACTATTGCATTTTTAATGCTTAGTTTTAGATTAGTTTTTAATTAGTTCTAGTATTAGTTTTTTATAGTTTGAATAAACATATTTGCCAATGCATCCCCAAGCTTGTGATGTTCCTATGAGTTAACTAACCAACAGCTATTTTTTTATTTGTTCGCTAGTTAAAGCAGTCCATTATAGCGACCGACACCTTCCTAAAATAATTGCGTAACTGAATTTTGCCAACAAAGGTCTTGGGCAATAGTTGTCTCCAACCCGGTGCTACCTGTTGCTTGTTTTTCATGAGAACTACTGAGAGAAGCTAGCGTGKCAAGCATAGAAATCAATACATAGAAGCCTCGTTGACTGTGTCGGTCCGCTGCTGTGATGAGCCTGTGCGTCCGTCATATTGGAGGTGGCACCGCTGCGCTGTGAACTACTACTACTACTAATGAATGGACTTTGTTTAACAGAGATTTACGTTAATATGGCACCACAATTTATTCAAACACACACACGTGTGCGCGCACACAGAATTTGAGAAAAACAGGTACCGGTACCAAAAACAATGCATTAAAACTTCTTACAGGACTACAAAATACAACTTTATTGATCCCACACACAATTAATTTATGTTTCATAAGCTGTAAAGGTAAAGTAGTTTAAAAATCAATTTATGTTACACTTCGTATTATTATATGAATTGTAATGAATGAATTTAGGAAACCTGTACAGAATAACAAAAGCTAAACACAAAGCAACAACAGTCTAACAAAATGTTTGAGTGAGCTATTTCATTTATTCGTTATTTTATGTTSAGAATAAGGAATACAGTTGGTAATAAGATCTTTCTTACAATCAAACTTTTAACAGTTTCATTCTGACTAGATATATTAACACAGTAGTTAAATTAATAATATAATAACTTTTTAATAATAATAATACTTTATTAACCCCCAAAAGGAAATTACATTTTCCAGTACAGCCATCCGTTATTATGAGAATTCCTACAAAAAGAAGTCTTGTGTTTGCATTAAAATGAGGAATGTTGTGAAGTTAACTGTTTAAGTTAGCTCACGTTATCTGTATAGTAAGTGTTAAGACTCGCATGTGAAAGGTAATTCTGTCTTATTTTGTTTGGACATCTGAAGTGTTAGAACATTTCCAAGCCGCACAACTACGAGGCATTTTGCTTTCCCCTCTCTGCCACCTCCAATATGGTGGTGACATGGTTATGCCGTTCAGATTCCAACAGGGCGTCTATTGATGTCTACAGTGTCAAGATAGTCATAGTTAGCCATCTTGTGCAAGCTTGATTCATGCAGTTTTTCCATTGAGAAGCATTTCACCTGTTTTATCCCCTGTTTCTACTACAACACTTGCTTTTATTTTTCTTGCAGTCATATTCAAAGAAATCTCAAAGTGAACGTTGCTTCTTTCTCCCAAGTTTTGCTGTTGTTATTTGGCAGACGATGCTGAGCAGCAGCAGACTGTAAACAAGTGTTGTTACAGACCATGAGGTGCCGTAAGCTGCCCACAGCTCATGTGAAACGACTCAATTAAAAAAAAAAAGATCCATGGCTCAAAATAAATTGACAAACACTAAAACTGAGAATATTCTATCTATAATTTCAGTTAGTTTTAGTTAGTTTTGTAAAAAGATTATATAGTTTTAGTTAGATATCTTTTTTTCATTTTATTACAGTTTTTATTTTAGTTAACTAAAATGTTTTTTCAATTTCAGTTTTCGTTATTTAGTTTTAGTTAACTATAATAACCCTGGTG